TGCAGATAAATAGGTTCCTTTCAAATTCTCATTCTAGCCGGGCGTGGTGGCACACGCCTGTAATTACAGCACTCAGAAGGGTGAGGCAGGAGGATCGTTGCGAGTTCAAGACCAGCCTGGGCTACAAAGTGAGCTCAAGGTCAGCCTAAGCTGCATAGTGAGACCCTGTCTCAAAAAGACAAAAACAAAAAAACAAAATCAGATTCTCATTCTTTGCATCAAAACAACTGGGTATGTTGAATAATCATCTAGCACGAGCACATTACTAGATGATCACGTGCCAGGTGGTAGGCTATCTAAGGGCCTTATGTGTATTACCCTGGTCCAGCTTCACTCAGTCTCTGGTATTACAGATGGTGAAACTGTGGCACACAGTTTGAATAACTTTTCCCAGGCTCTGTATACTTGGAAGGTAGGATCATCCCCTGCAGCCCGAGGTCAGTGTCTGCATACCAGTTTTTCAAGGTCTGCAGTCCCCAAAGCTGAAACAGCCAAACATATGGAAGCACAAAGCTCAGAGGGAGGGTGCTTTAACCTCTGGTTTCAACACCCCGCTTCTCCTGGAATGATGGGGGTGGCTGGCCTAGGCTCAGTCCCTGCAGTGCGCCCCGAAGCTCCACCCTGCTTCGAAGCTTCTACCACTAACATAAACTGAGCCTGGCTGAGTCTGCTCTGCAGCTCAGAGTTCCAGGGAAGCCTCCCATGCCCCAGGCTGTGTCCCTCCTTTGCACCCTCCATGCACTACTGAAGTTAACTGTAATTAAATCACCCTTTGATCAACTATTTGTTTAATGTCTATCTCTCATACCTGACTATAAACAGTAGCAGTTCTAGATTTTCTACCTAGGAGGGGTGAGGTGATCCAGGTGGGTGGGGGTTTGTTTCCACTGCTTAGTACGGGAGGAAGGTTGGGAAACGGTCATTGAATGTAGAAATGCATGAATGTGCTGATGCAGATTAGAGAAGCCAAGCTCGTCCAACCCTCGCTTCTCCACTCCCTCACCCCCCTGGCACACCACTGACTGGAAGCTCCATGGGGGAAAAAAATACCTGGTCCCTTTTGCCACTGTAAGTACTTGGCACTGTGCCTGGTACCCAGGAAGTGCATGATAATGTCTTTGTGGAATTAATACATAAAGGAAATTGAATTCTTGAACTTGTTATCGGAAAAAGAGGGATGATGCTTGTGTATGTGTGTGTTCTTGCGGGGGGTGGGGGGCAGTGGGGACTGAACCAAGAGCTTTCACACTGAGCTACATGCCCCTTTTAAAAAAAATTTTTTTTTGTCTTTCTTTTTAAGACAGTTTCACTATGCAGTTCAGACTGGCCTTGAACTCCCAAAGATCCTCCTGCCTCAGCCTCTTGAGGGTTGGGATTACAGGTCTGCAGCCACCACACCCAGCTTTTTCTTTTTTGGTACTGGGAATTGAACTCATGACCTTGAGCTTGCCAGGCAGGCAATGTGCTGCTGAGCTATACCCCAGCTTTTTTTTTTTTTTTTTCTGAGAAAGGGTCTTGCTATGCAGTTCAAGCTGGCCTTGAGCTCACTTTGTAGCCCAGGCTGGCCTTGAACTTACAACAATCCTCCTGTCTCAGCCTCCAGAGTGCTGGGATTACAGGCGTGCGCCACCATGCCCGGCTATCCCCAGCTTTTATATCTCTCTTTTTTTTTGTTTGTTTTTTTTTCCAGTACCGGAAATCGAACTCATGACCTCGCACTTGCTAGGCAGGTACTGTGCCGCTGCGCTAAATCCCCAGCCCCTATTCCCAGCTTTTAAAAAAATTCTTGAGACGATCTTACTAAATTGCTCAGGATGGATTTGAATTTATGATCCTCCTGCCTCAGCCTCCCAGAGTGCTAGAACTACAGGCATGCACAACCATGCCTATTTTGTTTTGTTTTGAAGTGCTGGGGCTCAAATGCAGAGCTCCAGCATGACTGGAGAATCTCCTACCGTGGAGTACACTCCGAGACCCCCAAGGACACCAGGACCCAGCTTTTAAAACAGCAGCACACATGCAAATGCACTGAGCACTAGACTGGCAACAGTAAGTGCTCCACAAATAATCTGCCACTGAATTTGAATTCTTGCCTCTCCTCACTCCCACTAACTCATCTCTCAGGTTCCAGGGCTGCATAGCCAGCGGCTTTATACAAGAACAAAGCCCAGAACTGAACCCACTCCACCCCCTCCCCCACGATCTGGTGGGGGTGAAGGCATTTATACCGGGTTGGGGAGAAAAGACTGTCATTATCCCAGGCAGGAATGCAAGGCTGTTAAGACTTTTCTCTAGCAGCAAAGTTTACACAGTACCTCCTCAAAGACATTCAGTACCTTTGGAATTAACATTAGCTGCCGTAGGAGAAAATAAAAACACAAAACCCAGCATCATCCTACCAGCTGCAATCCGCAAGAGCGAACACAGAGCTTTCCACCTTAGTGAAGGTTTCTCAACAATTCCGTCATCTTTCATTCTGGCGCCTCACGCCCCTCCCCCTGCACCACTGGCTGCACAGTTGCTAGGGGTTTAACAAAACCACAGTGTGCCGCATCCTGCTTAAAACCCTTCAGAAGATGTACCTGACCTCACCAGGTTCACTTCAACCTTGCTTCTCAAGCTTTGCCTAACAGCAATGAAAGAGACCTTCTGTCTGCCCTGCCCCCCATATGCTAGGCTTCTTCCGAAGCGGAGCCTCCTCTCATACTGCCAGGGCCCGAGATGCTGAGATGTCTCCTTCGGGCTCGCACTGCAGTGTTCAGTGTGAACTCACAACCACAGGCCCCCTCTCACAGGGACACTCGCCAACGCCTAAATCAAAATCCTTTCTCTGGTCCTCACACCCTCTACGCATGTTGATTTTTTCCTCTGAGCACTTCTAGCCTCAGATGGTGGTGTATCTCCTAAAAAGACTGAGCTTCACATGTTCAGGGAGAGCATATCTCTCACCATGAGTCCCTGGAGTCACTGCAGCACAATATGAATGAATTTTTCACAACTGCTACCCCGAACCGCATCTAGGTTTAGGCTCCAAGCTGGACAAAAAAACGGCCTCGGTGCCCTCCTAGGCGCTCGGCTTAGACGGTACCTAAGGCCCTCTCAGCCGAACTGGGGACTGAGAGCCTCTGCTGTCCCCACCTTGGGCTGGCATCTCAACTCCTCCTTCAGGAGAGCTGGGAATAAAGACCATCAAGTGGAATCCTGTCTTGATTCTTGGCTGATTCCTCTAATAAAGAAAACAGAACAGCAGCCTCTACCCCACTGTCCACACTCCACAGTTAAAAAAATAAAAGTCTTCCTTTATTCCCACTTTGTAATAGAGCAAGCAACATGGGTAAGCATGGGCTGGGAAAACTCGTCGTTCTCCAACTGCTTCAAATGACACACAAGAAACAGTAACGTTTTAGATTCGCCAAGCTGAGAAGGGCAGGGAACAGTAGAGAACCTGGCTGTAAAGGTCTAGAAAATTAGCAATACAATTTACTAGGGTTTCCGTTTATTACATTCAAGAGCCCTGGCCTCAATTTTTAACAAATGGAAACTGTAACACTGAATTTCAATACCCTTAAAGGGAAGTCCTGAACAGCTGTAAAATCTTCCATTGTCCAGGTAAAAAGCTTTTCTCCTGCCTCTTGATGGAGGTCTTGGCCTTGGAAGGAAGGCACAAGTTCCCTGGGGTAGTCAGCTCTGGCCTAGGAAGCTGGGTAGGCGGTCACTGCGGAGATGAGTCTGTACGGTGAACAGGCATTTTTGACTAGGGACGCATTGACCTTGGGTTCTGATCTGAGCTGCCTGTCGCGGGAGGCCCAGCCCCAGGCCAGACCTCTGCCCGACGCTGGTAGGCTTTCTGGTTTCTCTGACGACTGCAAAGCGCAGTCTTATAGTGGCGTAGGAAGAAAAAGACAGCCTCTCTGCCTCTCCGGAAAGCCTTAAAGACACACCTTACAGGGGATTCGGGCTCGGCCCGGCTCTTATCCTTGCATCAAAGCCAACCCCTGCCCCAGTCTCCCCGGAGGCTACAGCGTCCGCCCGTTCCTGGGCGGAGCAGGGCCTGCTGCGCGGGCTCACTGCCTTCTAGGAGTCAGACCTAACGGCGGGGGCTTTTCTTTTCACTGGCTTGGGCTCCACCCCTCTGCCCCCAACCCCCGTCATTAACAGCAAAGAAAGGATCCCTGGCCATTTCCACTTCCTCTGCGGCTCGCGAGCCCTGTTATTTAATCCGCAGGCACCCGGGCAGCATCCACTGCGCAGCCGGCTCCACCCATCCACCTGGCCAGTTCTCTGCGGCTCCCGCTCCCCTTTCAGGGGAGTTGAACAGAGGCGGGGGGGGGGGGGACTGGGGAAAGCTGCCTACAGCAGCAAAAGGTCGTGGGCCTTCGGTGGACGGAGGCATCTCTGGCCAGCGTCCCGTAAGGGCTGGGATAGGAACGTGGTTAGAGAGGCGACACCTAGCCAGGGAAACAGAGCTGGCGGAAGCCCCCAACACTGCGGACAATTACACTGGGGCGGGGTCAGAGGGGACCATCAGGCGAGGGCCTAGCCTCTCACTGATTGAACAGAATCTCCCCGGGGGGTACCGGAGCCGGAAGAGGCCCCGGTCCAGCCAGTGTCCACACCCAAGAAACGGGGGAGGGGGGGAGAGGTGGTCTGCACTCACGACTCGGCCTCGGGAACCAAATCACTCGCTCAGCAACATTCTCTCCACCCTTCTTTGATATAGATGTTGAATATTTTCTTAATTTTTGGTAAATACAGTTTCAAGATCTCTCCCTTCGACGTCCCTAGGCGCCACTGATCCGCCAAAAGAAGAGGTCCCCAACAGGGGTCCTACCGCCTTCCCACCCCCTTGACTGCCTGCGGCGGGAAGAGATACCCAGATCTAGGTGTGTCCTCCCCCACCCTACTCTCAGCCCTGGATCCGGAGGCCACAGAGCCCCGCGCCCCCCAACGACACTGACGGTTCCTGCCCAGGCCCGCAGCGGCGTGAAATTGGCCTTTACCTCCTCTCGAAGGCTGGGAGGGGGTACAGCCCGTGCAGCTGAGCCAGCTGCAGCAGTCGCCGCCGCCCTCCATTCATTCAGAAAAAAAAAAAAAAAGAAGCAACAACAACCTCCACCCCTCTTTGTAAAAGAACGACGGCCCCTTGAGGAGCGAGCCAGCCCCAGCAATCACGGGTTAAGTTCTTTTCCGGCCCCCCATTCATAAAAAAAGGAGCGCAGCGCATGCGCAGGCAGGGTCTCTTATGCCCACCCATTCATAGAATCGCGGACGGCGCGCGTGCGCACTGGGTCTCCCTGCCCTCCCATTCATAAAAAAGCCATTTTCCCAGGCAGTGGTTGCAACACCGCCGCCGAGGCAGCGAGCGGAGCTGACAGCGCGGAGCTGGCTCTGCGGGACGCTGGGAGCCTTGCGGGTTTCTCCGGCTGGTGTCTGCGAGTACAGCGGCGGCTGAACCGCTCGGCTTCAGGGATTTACACAGACTTGGAGCAATGCTTGTGACTCTGCAGCTCCTCAAAGTAAGTCCATGGCCAGTTTGGAGATCCGAAACTGGCCACTCCGAGCCGCGACGCTACTCCCCCTCGGGCTGGGGCAAATGGTGCGCTATTTCTAACCGCGCCTCAGTGTTCCTCTCCTCTGTCTGCGCCTCCCTTAGTCGCTGCGGTGCTCCCCAGGTCCCTGACGCCTTCAGCCCGGCCGGCGCGGCGCTGGGGTGTTCACAGCCTGGCACCGCTGTTTTCGACCCCTGGGTATTGCCAAGCCTGACTTCCCCGCCCTCTGCCACTCGGGAAGCCCCGTGCGTGTCTTCGGAGTTTGCCTCTGGCCTGGCTTCTTTCCTCCTGCCGCCCCTCGCCTCGGACGCTGGAATGGTTGGTTCTAGGCTTGTTCGGAAGCTGCCGTTTGGGTCTGGGGGTGCCCTCGCCTGAGGCGGCTCTCCCACCCCCGGGCTGCGTGCCCACGGTCTTCCCGGCCCGCCGCAGCGGCCTATGCTCGACGTAGATTTTTCTTCCCCCTTTTGAGCTGGGACAGACTGACTGGCTTTCTGCCCTTCTGCCTTCCCCTCGATGGTCAGCTCTGGGCCGGCCCAGGACTGGGCATTTCTGCTCCCGCTCCTTGACGAGGCGGTTCCAGGCCGTCTGACCTTTGCTCGGCTGCCGCATTTTATGCTGTGCAACTGCCTTGCAGTTGTCTTTTTCTTCTCCAGCTCTGCAGGGTCCGAGGCTCTCGGCTACCCCATGCCTCCCCTTCCCTGGGCTGTGCCGGGCCCCAGAGCCCCCGGGCGTCGCTAGGACTGTGGTGGGGGCTGAAGGTGCGTTTACATAACGCCGGGCGTGTGGGAGCTGGAGGAAGAGGTTGCATGCGTAGGAGAGATAAGACTCCGACTTCTCCTGCTTCCCATCTTGGTGGTACCAGGCTTGACATAACGTAGAAGAGAGGATAGAGACGGTACGTTCTGAAAAATTCTGGATCGCCAAGACCACAGGAGCAATGAGGGGGGTGAAGGGCGGATTTGGCCAGCCAGGGCAACCGGAGCTTGGCTGCATCACTGGGGCCAGGGCTGTGCCCAGTTCCCCCTCCATGCAGGCGATCAAAAAGCGTTTAGACAGTAGCTGCTCTTGTGCAAGAAGACGGTTTCTCAATTTTCTTTGATTGGGGGCTGGGGGTTGTGGGCAGAGGAGGCTAGAGAAGCGGAAAATGGTTACAAGGCTTGAAGGGCTGAGGGATGGAGGGAGAGGGGAAATGGGCTGGAGGGGATGGTGAGCAGAGGAGAGCTGCTGGCTGCCTCCCACCAACTGCTGGATAGGCATCCATATTGGCAGTCTGGCTGAGGGCAGGAGGCCTCCTTATGGCGCAGCCAGACTCCAGGGAACCCCCCCGCCATGGCTTATGCTGGGAGGGAAGGTGTGGAGTGGGTGGAGTACCCAGACCAAGTGGCAGAAGCCCCTCTTTCCCGTCTCCGAATCGATGGCGTGACTCTCTCCAGTTGGGGAGAGCCCAGACACTGAAGGCCAGAGAACTTGTTGAGGGGCAGGAGGAGCTGGTGCATGGCTGCTGTCTGTTTAGCTGACCAAGGTTCTAACCTTCCTGACAAGCCTCTCAGGGATACAAAGCTGGAAGGTAAAAGGCCCAGAGCAGTTGGGAAATAGGGATTTATCAATCTCTTAATAAGCTCCATCTGGCCTGAGGCCCTACCCAATATTGCACTGGTGGATTTCACAATGTTTAGAGTTCTCCAGATCTTCAGAAATGGAGCATAAACATTTTATTCCCATGTAGTACAAGTGTGGGGCGGTCTAGGAAAGGAAGTACTGTATAGTTGGACTCACTCTGTCTCCTCTCCCCCTCTCCCCCTCTCCCTCTCTCTGTCTCCCTCCCTCTGAAGGGTAAGAAGAAGTTGTGTAGATGTCTATTACGAAATCGCATTTCTGCTGTTTCCCTTCCCTGGGGAGCGTCCTTTGCTGGCTGGCCTAGGGTGAATCCTAACCTGGTAATCAGCGGACATGCTGACCAATGGAGCTGTGTGGCCACGGTGGTATGGGGGAAAGGTGAAAGGGGCACTTTGGTGGCAGATTTCTGCAATCTCTACGGAAGCCTATCCTTCAGCTAGGATGAGGGAAGACTTTATAAAGATGCCTGCTGGTTGTCTTCCTTTTTAGTTTCTGAACGCGAGTCCTTTTCCTTCTTATGGGGTATAAATCTCTGCAGCCCGTACCCCTCCTCTGAGTTCCCACAACCTTTTCTAGATTATCCTCTGAAATGGCAGCTTTTCCATAGAGCTTTGGTTGGGTCTGGTGGGTAGGGACAACACATAGCGTGGATTGATTCCAGGTTAAAGCAGGCCAGAGACTGGGCGTTTGGAACTCCCTGATGTCATTTTTGTCTGCATCCTTCTAGAATTAGTGGCAAGATGTGGCTTTCTGGCAATTCACCCTCTGCCCAGTGAGTAACCCTAGAGCCTTATCTTGTAAACCTGACATTAAATGTGCCTAGAGGTTTGGCTGACTTTCTTAAGAGACAACAAATGAAGGTAAAATGTAAAAGTAATTTAAAAATTAAAGTAGAGGGGGAAAAAATCTTCAACACTTTTAAAGTGGCCCTTAGGATGTGTTACCCTAGCTTGGTGTAGTGGCACATGCCTGTAACCGGGAGGCTGTGGCAGGAGGATCACTGCAAGTTCGAGGACAACCTGGGCTACGAAGTGAGTTCAAGGCCAGTCTGAACTGCAGAGTGGGACCCTGTCTCAAAAAGCCCCCCAAAAGGTTGTGTTGCCCGGGGATCTAATAACTTGCATCATTCTAGGGACTTCAGTTTCTGATTCTAGAGGTAGGTGCCTTTGTGTACCATGTTCAGCCTATAGTTTTGTACTCCCACACACAAGCATTTTCTGGTTGTGTTTTTTTTTTTTTTTTTTCTTGAGACAGGGCCTCACTATGCACTTGAGGTTGGCCTTGAGCTCACTTTGTAGCTCAGGCTGGCCTTGAACTCGCAGCAGTCGGAGTGCTGGGATTATAGGCATGCACCACCACACCCAGCACAAGCATTTTCTGAAATTGGGCCATCTGTTCCATCAGGCCTAGGGAAGACCCCCTCCCTCCTTTTTCTTTCTTCCTTTTTTTTTTTTAAATAAGAAGGTCTCACCATGTAGTTGAGGATGGTCTTGAACTGACTATGTACCCTAGGCTGGCCCCGAACTCCCTGCAATCCTCCTGACTCAGCCTTCCAAGTAATACTGGGATTCCAAGGCATGCACCCCAACCCAGTTTAGCCCTCCCTCTTTTTTCTGAGAAGTTCTGATACTCAGAATCACAGCAGTGTTTGGTTCTGAATGCTGATCCTCTAGCACCTAATGAAGAGGAAGTTCTCACAAACTGGGGGAGGATTCCTCCTGTCCTGAATTGGAGGATAAAAGTGGAAGTTTGGGGTTGGAGATGTAGACCCCACAGGTTTTTTAAGGAAGAGGAACAGCAAGAGTGGCGAAGGGGCCATCACATGGGCATCTCAGGAAAGAGGTGACTCATGAGGATATATTTTGCTCTTCTAAAGAGGCAGAGCAAGGAAGTGAAGAAGAACGTAAGGAAGGCTGTATTAGTACTTTTACGTCAAGCTAGGGGCCAGGGCACAGCAAACCAGTGGCCAGGCAAACCTGTTAAGCACAGGCCTTAGTAGAGAATACGATCTTTCAGACTCCTTCCAAGGGGCTAAGGGCCCAGGGAGCTGCAAGCGAGTGGCCAGGACCGGGGCCTATCTCACTGTTATTACTGGATTTCTAAGAATTCCTAAGAAGAGGGCCTAGTTTTCAGAGCATCTCTAACCAAAGGCACAGGAGGTGTGGGGTGTAGCATGATGTAAGAGGCGGAGTATTCTTGGCGCTTGGATCTGGGGCCACCCTGCAGATCCGGACAGCTGACAAGGCTGGAGAATGTATCCGGGACATGTGGCTGGGCTTAAGAGACTCCACCGTTCAGCTGTGATCACGATTGTTCTTTCCAAGGACAGGCCTGCCAGTGGAGGAAGCAAGGGCACTGGGGAGGGAGCACAGATGTGCTAGGCCTCTCTGAGGAGGGAAGGGGCCCTTTGGGGCAGGTGGCCACTTGCAGAAGAGCCGTTTCCCTTGTGGGGCAGCCTGTCTCTTTCTGGCTAGGAGAAAGGGAAGTCATTTCCTGCCCTGTCCCAGGAGTAAACTAAAATCTATTCTTGTCAGTTCATTTCTCAGTGGCTGGTAGGGAGACTAATAAGACTGTCTTGCTGTCCGTGGGAAGAAACGCTGCCCTAGTCCCCCCTGAGCCTTGATTTGGACCAGTAGTTCCCAGGTGGTACCAGGGGAAATGGTACTACCTTCCTTCTTTATAATGCTTGCCTTCTTTCTTTCTTTTTTTTTTTTTTTTTTTTTTTTTTTTTTTTTTTTGGAGACAAGGTCAGGCCAGCCATGAACTCACCCTGTAGCCCAGGCTGGCCTCAAATTCATGGCGATCCTCCTGCCTCAACCCCAGAGTGCTGGGATTACAGGCCTGCGCCACCACGCCCAGCTGATGCTCTGCTTCTGATCCCTCTTTGCGGGGATCTGAGCAGACTGTAATTAAGGGGCTAGTACTACAGCGAAGCAGCAACCTACAGCTGGCTAAAATAGTTCAAAACCAAGTGTACAGTGAGACTCGCATGATAGGCCGGGGCTTTGGAGCTGATTGGTTGTCAAAAGGGAGTGAAGAGAACAGATAAGGGGTGATGGACAGAGTAATGAAAAACAACTGTTTTGTTTTGTTATCCCTAACAGACTGTCACCACCAGTGAGCTCCTTGGATCTGGGCTGGGAGGCAGGGGGTAGAGGGGGGGAAGGAGGCATTCCCAGACAAATCAGCTAACAGCTTTATTTCCCCCACTGGGGCCATTGGGGGCCATTCTCTGCAGAGATAGCAACCTTGGTGTGTAGGCAGGGGCAAGTTCCTGGCTTCCCTGTCTCCCGCCCCTCCTCCCACTGTACAAGACTTTAAAGTAGTCATCGTTTGGTTATAGCTCAGTTAGCTAAACTGGGTCTCTGTCACAAAGAGTGGAGCAGCAGTGGGCAGGCGCTCTGGCAGCCTAGAGATCTGTTCTCTATGTTGCTAAAGGGTTAAACAACCTTCCCTTGAAAGATCCCGCTGAGACTGAAAGGGGCAGTGCAGAAACTGTTGGCCATTCAGAGCCTTTGCCAGTTTGTCACCAGTTGACCTGTACTTCTCAAAGTACAACTGTAAGGTTTTCCTAGTATTTCCTATCTCCCCTCCCTGGGTTAAGTCAAGGGGACGGCTGTAGTTGGGCCAGAATAGGTGGCTGGCCCATCCATTTGTGTAGACATTTAATGTGAGTCTTGCTTCTTTTCTCCTAGCCTGTGTTCAGCAGGTCTACATCCCTGATGCTCAGCCCCTCCTCGCTGGCTGACTCTGGGCTCCTAGACCTGCCAATCAGCAAATACAGGGCTGTGTGCTCTGGGGTTTCCAACGTTCTGCTGATTGAGTATTCTAGGACCTCTTCTTGTTTCATTGTACGTTGCTCCTCCTCCCCCTCCTCTCCAGCCTGTACTGGAAGCTCCATCAATAGAAGGGCCTTGGGCCGGGGATATAGCTCAGCGGCATAAGCGCCTGCCTGGCAAGCGCAAGGTCCTGAGTTCGATTCTCAGTACCAAAAAAAAAAAAAAAAAAAATACAGGCGCCCTTAGGGAAAGTTCAGTGGATAGGTGAGCAGGAGATGGGGTTCCCTTCCACCCCAGGGTTTCCTTCTAAGGACTGCTCTGTAGTGAAATTGTACAAGGGAGACCCATTTGACTTTCGGGCAGCTAAGAATGAAAACAGCAAAGGGGAATGAAGTGACAGAAGGATGCCAGGCAAAGTGCAGAGTGAAAATAACTTGAGCGCTGAGCCCTCCTTCAATGACAGGAACCCCCTTGCCTCCACTCCGCACTGATAAAAGCTGGCTTCATTTCCCTGCTGACTGAGTGTCCCAGGATGACCGACGAGGCACACTGTGAAGGCTGCAGGGGTGTCCTGACTCTTAAGAGTGCTTGCATACCCCGGTGTCCCACGGAGGCTTCTGTAGGCTGGACCGCAGCTAAGGTTATTTATTACCTCTGCTGTCTGGGTTCAAATCCTCCCTGATCAATCACTGTAACTGTGATGATTTATGCTTTTTCCTTTCTTTTGTGGTACTGGGTATAATACCCAGGGCCTTTGCACAGAGCTGCATCTTCACCCTCCTTTTTTTTTTTTTTTTTAGAAAATAAATTTATGCATTTATTTTACTTTTACATTACTCAGGCTGGGCCCGAACTTGTAATCCTTCTGCCTCAGTCTCCCAGAGCGTTGGCATTGTAGGCTTGGCCTACCTCATTGTATTGTGCTCCTTTCTAACTCCAAAGTACTGTCCTCTCTGATGACAAAATAAATCATTGAGGGCTTAGGCATAAAGCCTAGTGCTGAGAAATGTTTCACAAATATTTGCTGCTTCTGTAATCATCATTTATTACTAGAAGATGAGAGGAAGTGAAAGTTACTTGCCTCCTGCTAATCCATAAGATAGTAGCCTGAAACTCCACAGAGGTGCTTCCTTGGCTAGGTGCAGCGTTGGCTTTGTTTCTCTATCCAGAGTCTTCCAAATTGGCCATCGGTCTCTTCCAAACTGCCTACATTAGGCAAAGCCGCCTATTTATATTATAAATCTCTTCCTTCCTTAAAGGGGAAGCAGAGGTACATGTATTAAACTGCACTTAAGAACAAGAACGACAGCAGAGCTTAGGCTGGAGGGTGAGTGGGTCCAGTGAATGGGAATTGATTTAAACCAGCAGAGAGTCGGGCTGGGTTTTTTGTTTTCGAGACATCATGGAGCTGTACCGAGGAGTTATCAAACAGGCAGCTCAGGAAGTTGTTTTTCTTTGTCAGCCAAATTAATTCAGCTGGGCTGTTAGAGGGCCCTCCTGTGGTGGGTCCCTGCTAAGAGGCAGGTGAGGCCCCAGACCTAAGGCAGTTTGAGCAGTGGGACTCTGAGCCAGCCGCCAGGTTTTGCTGAGCTGGTGGCTGGAGGAGAACTTGTATCAGGGTTATGACAGGGAAGGTACATTTTAGAATGGGCCTGCTGGAGACATCAGATGCTGCTGTCCCAGGAGAGCTGAGTCACTGTGGGCCACATTCCCACCCGACGTCTGGCCTTGGCATCTGCCTCTGGAGAGTGGTGGGAGCCTGCTAATCCCAGAGGGCTCGCTGCCTGCAGGGGCTCCTTCCACTGGCTTCCTGCTAGGATATTTCTATGAATTGGGGCATCTGCCTGCTGAAGCCAGGGCCTGGTAAAAAAAAAAAAAAAATCCCTGTGTTGCCCATGCCTTTTGGTTTATCTGCAGGAAGTCCAGCTATTATTAAAGAGTCACAATAATTGAATTGAGAAGGCAGAGATCATCTGCTTGGGAGAGGGGAAGTAAGTATCTTTGACTTTTCCCGTAGCACGGCCAATCCCAGTCCTGGTCCTGAGACAAATCTCCAGCTACCTGGAACATTATAACCTTGAAACTGCCACTGGCGTTTTGTTGGCAGGACCTGTGATCTTCATAACATGGGCTTCTGGAATAAGGAGGTTGTGTTGTCTTGGACATGAGGTTAGGGTTCTGGCTGCCGCACATCTTGGCTGGTAGTGGAGAGCCTTATCCATGGCATTTTCTATTCTTAAGCCAAGTCCCACCTTTTCCTCTAACCAAACTCCCCAGGGCTGGGAACGGGACACTCCTAACCGTGATCTGTTGACCTCAGACTCACTTATTCTAGAAGCAAGCCCTTGGAACCTTACTGAGAATAAACGGAGAGAATGACATAGCATTCCCTGGAAGACTCCTCTCCATAGAGTCTTCCTTGCATTGCCTCTATCCAGCCCTGACCACAGGAGGCTACTTGGGCAAGTGAGTGCTCTTTCCCAGCAGGTTTGCCAGGCATGTAAGGCGGACTCCACCACCAGGAATTCCCCCGCTGGGAGATGATGCTGTTTTCATCTGAAGAGAACTTTGGGGCAGGCACCGCCACTAGGTAGACTTGATCCAAGATAGGAAAAACAAAATATGCTAAAAGAAATGCCAGTATCTTCTAAGTGAGCAGAGCTGCGGGAGCAGAGCCGATAGTGAGAGCCTTGTGTGAATGGGAACTATCAGTTGACTGAGCACTGAACCTTGCGGAAAAGACTCCACGCTTTTTTTTCTTTTGCATTTAGGAGTATAGATGATGCACAGATGAGAGGCTTGTGGATAACCCCTTTTAGCCTCCTCATGAACTTTTCACCTAGAGCTAGCTCTTTAGACAGGCTAACGGTATCCAAGGAAGCCCTTCCCTGATGGTTTTAACTATTTCTGATCGAACGCTTGTCTGCAAGCAGGGGAAATACAGTACTGAGTTCCTCCAAATGTCTCCTTGCCCCATTCCCCTCCTTACTGTAGTCTTGAGTATGAATGAATGCCAGGGCCCCCAGTGTCAGTTCTCCTGTGAGTGGAGTATAGAGCAGACTAAAGACATCAGATGTCCATGGGGTGCAGTGGAATGGGAAACCTATCCACACTCCTCCTCAGGCAGCGCCTTTGGGGCAAGGTGAGCCCAATAGCTGATGGGTAGGGTCAGCTTTCCTAATTACAATGTCATTAGCATGTTGCAAAAGATCTTCAGGGAAACAGCTTTTGCAACACCCTAATCTACTGTGGGTAGTTTTTTTCCTCAAGGACTGTCATCTTCTTCTGCACCCCTCCTTTCCCCAGTCCCCTCGAGTTCTTTAGTCTAATCCTCAGCTTGGATTCTAAACTGTGTCCCCTTGAGCAGAGGTCCTGGCCTTCTGCTGCTACTTCTTTAAATTGATCTCCATCCGAATTCCAAATGTAAAGGTCAGCAGGCAAGGAAATGGCACTTCTAATAGAAAACAATGTGCACTTTCTAAATTTGAACCAAGCCGTTTCCGCTCTTTGATTTAAGTGACTTCCTGGGGTTCCGTGTCAGGCACTGCAGTTGAATCTCTGGCCGGATGCCAACTTAAAATTGCACTCTCTGAGTGAAATTAGAAACTGATCCAGGGTTGGCTTAGCTATTCTAGTAAATAGCATTTAGACCGAACGTTCAGCTCAGCACTTGGAGAAATGGGTGATGTGAGCGCCCCTTGAGAGGGTTTCCCATCCAGGGTGTCAGAAGCTCACCTCCTCAGGAGTTATTAGCCAGTGGAGGTTGCTGCACTTACAAGTGGTAGTGATAAGTTAATATCCTGCATAATGTCCAGATACAGCCCTTCCTTATCTTGTGAATATCTAAAATAAAGGCTTTTATTTATCCAGCTGATAAACTCCATGGGAGCACACAGGGACTGTTGTGTTTACCGCACTGTCCTCGGGGTCCAGCACACAGCGGTTGCAAGTGCTCAGGAAATCTAACCTTAAATTCTGGGGTCGTGATGAATTGTTGAGTATTGCTGTAGACCCAGGAATGTGCTAGGTACTGAACAGGCATTTTCTCATTTAATTCTTGTAAGAACCTATTTTAAAGATGACAAAAAAGTTAAAAACGCAAACCTAAGGCTTAAGGCATAGGAATTAAAGAACTCTTTCACAGCAACACTCTTAGGCCAAGGCAAGAATTCAAAATCTGATCCCAAGTCCTGTGTTCTAACCACTGGACTTTATATCTTACATAAGGAGCATGTTCATAGTGACTGGAAGAATAAATGTATAGACTGCCAGACTTGAGCCCTAGCCCTAAAAACTTGATAACAGTAGATAATTTCAGGGTTATTGTGAAGATCAGTGACTTTAGTATATGAGGTAGTTTGAGAAGTGCCTTATCATTTCTCCTTTTTTGTGGTATACTGGAAACCGAACTCAGGACCTCATGCATGCTAGGCTACCACTGAACTATAGCTCACAGCCCCAAGAAGTGTTATTTCTACCATTATTATTATTATTATTCTCATCATTAATTGTCTGAGCCTTGGAAATTGCTGGAAAGTCCACTGAAGAAATTAGGTCCCATTTCTTGGGCTCCCAAGGCCCTGCTGGGGGAAGGTGGGCCATGGGATGTTAACAGGCTGCATACTGATTCCTGCAATCCATTCTCTCTTCCTGTTCCCCATTTTCCCCCAGGGCCCCTAGAAGCCTGTTACTCGGAGCAGTCCAGGACCTCCAGCCCCATGGAGCCCCCGATTCCACAGAGTGCCCCTGTGACTCCCAGCTCAGTCATGGTGCAGCCCCTTCTTGACAGCCGGATGCCCCACAGCCGCCTCCAGCACCCACTCACCATCCTGCCCATCGACCAGATGAAGACCAGCCACGTGGAGAATGACTACATCGACAACCCGGGCCTGGCTCCCCCCACTGGCCCTAAGCGGACCCGGGGTGGGGCTCCAGAGCTGGCCCTGACGCCCGGCCGCTGTGACCAGGATGTCACCCACCACTGGATTTCCTTCAGTGGGCGCCCCAGCTCCGTGAGCAGCAGCAGCAGCACCTCCTCTGATCAGCGGCTGCTAGACCACATGGCTCCACCACCCGTGGCTGAGCAGGCCTCACCCAGGGCTGTGCGCCTCCAGCCTAAACTGGTCCATTGTAAGCCGCTGGACCTCAAGGGCCTAACAGCCCCACCGGAGCTGGACAAGCACTTCTTGTTGTGCGAGGCCTGCGGGAAATGCAAATGCAAGGAGTGTGCGTCCCCTCGGACGTTGCCTTCCTGCTGGGTCTGCAACCAGGAGTGCCTGTGCTCTGCCCAGACCCTGGTCAACTATGGCACATGCATGTGCCTGGTGCAGGGCATCTTCTACCACTGCACCAATGAGGATGACGAGGGTTCCTGCGCTGACCACCCCTGCTCCTGTTCCCGGTCCAACTGCTGCGCCCGCTGGTCCTTCATGGGCGCCCTCTCCGTGGTGCTGCCCTGCCTGCTCTGCTACCTGCCTGCCACCGGCTGCGTGAAGCTGGCCCAGCGTGGCTACGACCGCCTGCGCCGTCCCGGTTGCCGCTGCAAGCACACGAACAGTGTCATCTGCAAGGCAGGCAGTGGAGATGCCAAGGCCAGCAGGCCTGACAAGCCTTTCTGACTGACGCTTTGGGTTGAGCCCCAAGCGCTGCCCCTGGGAATGAGGGTCCCCCCTGCCAGCCTCCCCACGCTGGCCTTGCTCATCTGTCATCTCCCTGCCCCTAGCTGGGGAAGAAACAGGCAGAGAGCCCACTGCCACCCACCCACTAGTTCCCAAAAGGAGGAAGAAACACTTTGGGGGGGTATTTAGGGTTTTGGAACTTTAGTCAAGCAGATGGGCAGGGTGTGGTTAAGGGGGATTTTTCAGAAGACAGAACACAGATGTGGACACATAGCCAGAAGCTGCAGCTGCTTGATGCCCTTCTTGGTCCCTCCTTCTGCGCTCGTTCCCTCCCACTTGGCCATTGTCTCTGGCTCTCCCGGGAGCTGGCTGCCTGGGAGGAACTGGGAATTGTTAACTGAGCACCAGGGTCCCTTGAAGAGCCTGGGAGTCCTGACTCCGCTTTCTTCTCCTTCCGCACACCAGTCGGCCCCAGTGTCCCGGGGAAGGTGGAGAAGAACACTAGCTATCCTGACTGCGTATACTTGGGAGTGCTGAGGACAGAGGACAGCCAAGGAGCTGAAGCCTCCCAGGAGCCACAAGATGGTTTTGGAGGCACTGCGCAGTGTGTCCCTGTCTCCCAACCCTGTCAGTCACTCTCGGGGGTGTTCCACTCTCGCTACACCGTCCTCCGGCCCAGTTCTTACGAGTCACAGACTCGCCTGCCTGCTATGTCCTGAGTTTTCTCTCTACTCGGATCCTTTCCAGAAACTTGATGGGTAGAGAAGGCCGGGGCAGCACATGCGAGACCAAATATCATTTTGCCAATGAGTCTGAGGCTGTGGTCTCTTGACCCAGTCGTGATGTTTTTATAGAACAACTAAACCAGATGCTAATGGTGTTTTAAAGAACAATAATAAAACAACTTGCTTCCTTTTGGGCCACCCCCAGGAAGGGCTGATTTCAAAATCTGGGGGCGAGCAGCCTCAAGGAGCACAATTCCCCTGCCCCCAAGAAGAGGATTTTATCAGCGAAGAAGAGGCAGCGCCTCCCATTGGCAGAATGACAGTCGAGCCGTGCTGGGCTTGGGTTTCCTCTCTTCTGATTCTGCTGCTTGCTGTCATAGCCTTTTGTGTATAGCGATGCGATGCGTCTGTATCTTTATGTAAATAGATGGTGAAAGAGAGTCTATTTTAGTGTTCGAAAGCCCCAGCGGGGGAGTCAGAAGAGCTCAGAGAGGGTGGGGAAGATTCTCCAGGGTCCACTGGGATTGAGCCCTGCTTTTGTGCACAGCACACCCCTCTCCCGACAGCCCCCAAAGACGTAGCAACTCTTTCTCTCAAGGTGCTAAAGGACTCAGAAAGTGCAGCACGTCCAGTGGGTAGGTACTTGTTGCATGCAAAAGCTATAGTGTGTCTGGTCCCCCCGCCCCGTACCCCCACCTGTTTGGGGTCTTTGCTTTGTGTAGTATTTTGTCCCCCTCCCCTCCAGGAGAGGAAGTAGCTTGGATCAGAAGAAAGGCCCCAGGTGACATTGGAAGCGCATTAGCAGTGTCTGAAGCATTTCCAGCTTGTGCTGTGGAAACAGCTGCCTCCGGGAAGGAGGTAAGGCAGGTAGCTGTGAGTAGCATGTATACCTAATGCTTCCAAGGCCCCCTCCCCTCAGAAACTAGTAGTAACATCTTATGATTTAGCATAAGTTAATTGTAACCATAGGTATTTATTGATTGGAGGAAGGGAGGGTCTTAGTTTCGCTTTATTTATGTAACATTTGCTGGCTTGTAAAAGGCGAGTATAAGATATTGCATCTTCATTCTCTATGGCTAATGCCTATAGCTACCCTGGCCACAGCTGTGACGGATGGATGGATGTTCTTGCACAATTTGGGAGGGGATGGTAGAAAATGAACACGTTCAGCCAACCACTTACACTAATTGAATGTATCAAGTGTATCAGAGGGGCTGGAGATGTTTTCCTCGGTAGAGGTGGCCCCCACAATGATAGCGCACACGTGCACTCTTCTCTTCAAGGCCTCGGGGACTCTTCCCGAGGCCCCTCCCTCAAATCATCTCCACAGGAAATCGGACCCAGTTGCAAGTTGCACTTTGGTGATCCTGGTCTTACACCCATTCTGTGGAGATTTGATTTGCATAAGCTGTGTCTTCGCACATGCACACGTGTACACACACACGAACACACCCTGACCCTCAACCAACACAGACCCTGTTTCCTGGCAAATGGCCTTCTGAACCCTGACTTTTTGTGTACATAGTTGTAAACAGATTTTTTTGTGGGTTTTGGTTTGCCTTTTCTTTTTTTCCCTCTCCCTCTTCTTTTGGCTTGCATTTACCCTGCTGGATGGATGTCTGCAGAACTCTGAAGGAGTTCACTCACCTTGGTGCCCGTGTGCTCAGCAGTAAAGGGGAAAAGTGAAGGCAGTGACCTCGCAGCTCTGTCGTGTGGCAGTCCCTCAGCAGTTTTTCGCTGGCTCCTTGGCAGAAAAAAAGGAAAATAAACATGGCTTGCCTATGGCCCCACCACCCCTTCGAGGCCAGCCAAGGGCCATGAGGGACCAAGCACTCAAACAGGACATCTTTCTGTAGCTGCTTCTGGCTGGTTTCCTGGCACTAGCAGCTTGCTTGGCTGGATGAACCCTCACCTTGGAAAGTGCCAGGCAGCAGGTCCCCGCTTGTCTTGCACCTGGGCCCGCAGTGGTTGCCCTTGCAACTAGGGTCCAGGATGCTTTTCCAGGGGTGCCTTGGCTGCTTCCTTCCCATCCCTGATAGTGGGCTGGAGACGCCAGCGCTCACTGAGCACCCTGGGACCCTGGGCGTAGGCTGCAGAACCCTTGCAGACAAATGACGGGCACCAGCCAGAGTCCTCAGAGCAGCCACCTGGAAGAGTGAGCACAACCCCTTCTGTTGGCACGGGGCCATCACAGCTGACAGGCAAAGGCACCCGTGTGATGCAGAGTTCTTTGAACATACGGAGTCTCCATTGATCCCTGTTGTACATCAGTGGGGCCCAGCGAGGCAGTGACTGGTTGCACTCAAAGAAGTGTAGGTCTGGGGCAGAACCCAGGTGACAGTCACCTCAGAGCAGCATGCTCTCTGGCACTGTCCCAGGAAGCGTCTGACAGGTATGAGCAGCACAGCCTTGCACTGCACAGTTTCCAGGGCATCCACAGACATGTCCAGCCTCTGGTTCCTGCTTCTGGTAAGCCTCCTTGTGCCCTCCTGCTTGCCGTGACCGGGTGTCGGATCTGGTGTTACCGTTTCTGCTCTGGGTAACTGTGCTGTGTCTTACCTTGCTTTTTCTCTGTCCCACAGTTGGGTTTCGTGTTTCAAACAGTAAAGCTGTTCCCGGCTCCCGCCCCACTACATTCCTATTTCATTCTCCCTCTTCACCGCAGCCCCTTCTCACCCCACCACAAGCGTTACCACAGAAGGTTTCCTTTGTATAGAATATTTATTTTGAAGCTCTATTTTAATAGTATTTATTTTAGAAAGTCTACTATTGTAAGAGTTCTTCTGTTTGTGAAGAAAAAAACAAGTTAAAAACTGAATGTACTGATCTAGAAAAATATCTATAAATATATATTGTTAAATATATGCAGGACTGCTGTGTTCTTGTGTGTGTGTTCAGTTTCTTGACATCCTCACCCAGCAGGGCCTCAGGTTTGTCCACGAGCACGACTAGGTCAGTGCACCAGCTGCAAACCTGAGCTGAAGGAAGGGAGCGGGCCTCCCTCTGGGAAAACTTTAGCACCAGGGAGTGTGTTCCCAACCTTTTTATCTCTACTGTTTTTTAAAATTATGAGGCAAGCCCTTGCTAACTTGCCCAGGCTGGCCTCAAATGTGCAATCTTCCTGTCTCGGCCTCTGAGTAGCTAGGAATGCAGATTGTGCCCACTGTACCCTTTCTGAAAGCTTTGTAGCTTATTAGAAAACAGCACTGCCAGGTGCTGTAAAGCCCTTTTTCCTGGGCCGGCTGTCCTCTGCACTGGATGGCTTTGTTTCGTCATTGTTGTTTTTGTCTTTGTCTTTTTGAGACAGGGTCTCGCTATGCAGTTCAGGCTGGCCTTGAGCTCACTCTGTAGCCCAGGCTGGTCTCAAACTTGCAACGATCCTCCTGCCTCAGCCTCCCAAGTGCTGGGATTACAGGCGTGCACCACCACGCCTGGCACTGGATGGCTTTGTAACACAAGTAAGAAAGCTGGAAAGAGCTAGAGGTGGTAGGGAAGAACAATATAATCTGTCCACTTCCCAAAAGATTTACAGCTCTTCCCCCTTTTTTGGGCCCTGGCACCCTCAAGTCTATATGTTTCAAAAAGCTGAACAGAAAAGCCCATGGTGATTTTCCTTGTCCTGACTGCATGCATAGATACTGCCCCAGGCCAGGCCTTTGTCCTCTGACATCTACACACGTGCTAACGTGTCTCGCCTTCCTCCTGGTCTTCCATTGGCTTCTTTCCCTCAGCCCATCAACACCATTGCTCAGGAAGCCCCAGCCTCTCCTCAGAGAGAATACAGCTGTGGGAACTTTTTAAAATTCATGTACCAGTCACAGTGAAATTTGAACTACATGCCTCTTTCCCCAAAGCAAAATCAATTAAAACTACCAATATGTCAGGGGTAATGGTGAAGGGAGAAATCAGAACACCCAGGCCAATTCTTGGTATGTTTGGGGCTCACCAAGGGTGGCCTCTCGGGCACCTTCGTGAACTCCAAGCCTTGTGGCATCTTGTGTAGAAGCCCCTGACTACCCCAGAAGAAAAAAGGGATGTTCCTCAGAGTGGTCTTGTCTGCAGAGCAACACCTGGGTTGGAGATAGGCTTGGGCCTCCCTCTGTCACCCGGTCTTGTGGCCTGACCCATCCCCACAGGTTAGAGCTTGAAGTTTGTCTTCACCAACAAGGTAAGTAGCTGACACTTCGGAGTGATTGTCTGTAATCAGCTTAGTGTTAATGAATGTTCAGGCTTTGATTCTGTCTGTCTTTTTATGGGTGGGGCACAGAGCAGGCCCTCCCCTGCTGTCTATTTGTTTCTGGGGTTTTGGAGATTAAAAAACAGCCACCACATATTCAGTATTTAATGGACGCTTAAAGTCTATCCATCCAGATGCTCTGGGAGAAATGAGTGAAGCAGTTTCCACAGAAAAAGTTCTACAAGTGCTTCCCTTGCCTGCTCCTCTTAGTTCCCGGTAGGAAGCAGCTCTGGGGGCGACAGTAATGGTTAGCATTTATTAAACAGCTTCTTGCCTGGTACCGAACATGTGTGGCTGATACCATGGTTCTTTTCTTCTAGAAATGAAAAAAATGGGATTTGGAGAAGTCACATTCTCTCCCAAAGTGCGATTGAGGGGTAGAGTATCTTTTTTGTGATACTGAGGATTGAACCGTGGGCCTTCATACTGAGCTACATTCCCAGCCCTTTTTATGCTGTATTTGGGGACAGGGCTTGCTAAATTGCCCAGTCTAGGTTTGAAATGGCAGTCCTCCTGCCTCAGCCTGCTAGAGGATTGGGATTATAAGCATGCACCACATGCCTGGTTTGGAGGGTGAAGTGTGAAAACATCAGCTGAAGGAGTTAGCAACTGAATTTAGAAGGAAGGAGGAAGTATTGACTAGAATAGCTAGAAGGGTCTGCAGAGATCCAATGTAAAACTAAAAAGAAGCAACTCAACCCGTCTCCCATCTATAAGCACACCCCCTACGTACTCCGTGAAGAGCAAATGGTGTAAGAGGGCAGCTCTGGTGACATGAGGACCTTCCCTACCTTGGAGGACCTGCAACTTGAACTGAGCTCAACTTTCTGGAGATGAGCAGTGTGCGAATCCGAAGAACCCAGGCAGCCGGCTCCGTGCTGGAGGTGTGTGCCAGATGAAAGTCAAGAGGACATTTTTAAGAGCCTTAAGTTTATTCATTGGAACTGTAATAAAACAATATGTCCATGGCCCGGGGCAGGTATAATTTTCATAATTTATGGGTCTCTGAGACAGGAAGAGAGCTTGGGGTTTTATTGTGTTTTGCACGATAAATGGCATTCCGATTGTCTACATGATGTTCTTTAAGGACTCTCGTCTGGCAGCGGTGCAGGCCTTCTGGAGCCCACCTGGGCCTGAGGCCCGAGGCAAGGGGTAATTATGAACACAGCTGTATGTGTTAAGCAGGAGATGATGGAAAATGCCTCCGCTCCTTCTGTCATTAGAACTTCCTTTGCCGACACCTATATTAACATCTAACTGTCGCACAGTCTGGAACCCTCCCTCAACCCTCCCTCCGATCCTCCCTCAACCCTCCCTCCTCCGGCTCGCTCAGGCCCGTCCCCTTCCCTGAACAGGAAGAGCACAGACGTGACATTTTTTTTTACAGTCAGAATTAGGTTGATGTAGTTGGCCTCATTTTACAGATGAGAACATTGAGGCTTAGAGAGGTTAAGTCATTTGTCCAAGGGCACACAGCTGAAGTGGCAGACCTCAGATGTTAATTGGGAGGCTCTGTCTGCAGTGGACACTAAAGCCCGTTTAGAACTGCCCACTCCAATGATCCCTTCCCCTAGGGTGCCTACCTGTGTCCCCAAATTGAAGCTTCCTTCACACTTGTGTTTCCACAGAGGCCAGGAGACAGTTTGTTTTAAGATTACTTCAACTGTCACCAGGGTAGGACCTGAACCTGGGTCTCAGCAGTGCCCCACACATACCGTGTAAAGGACTAAGTCCCCATCATCAGACTGATCCCAGGCGGGAATCTCTGTGACCATACAACACTGCCACCAAACCTCCCAATTTCCTGGGCAATGGCAGGATGAATTATCTGGGCTGTGATGGCAAGGGCCAGCGTTCAGTGAAGGGGCAAGAACTTCACAGGGAGAAGGGAAGCCCTAAATGGCTTCAGATAATTTTTAAAAATCAGGCTGGCAGATAGGCGGGTGGCTGAGCAGAGGTGCATGGCTCGGCTAAGAGTAAAGGGTGTGGGCCGATGCCTCTGCGCTCCTAGGGCAGATGCATCTCGTGCCAGCCTTAGAGGAGACCAGTGCAGGACACAACGCCAAAGAGGTCAGGACGGAGTAGAACGCAGTTGGGGGGGTGGGCTGGGGAACCCGTGAAAGGCAGTGCCTTCCCCAGCCCTGGGCCACCCTTGACCATTCCCAGGTACAGCTGCTGCAGCCAGCCCAGGGACAGTGGAGCGCAGTGCTAGCATTTGAGTTGAATTACAGAACTGGTGTCCATCCAAGCAGGCCCAGTTCCCAGAATGGGCATGACCAGGGCCTTGGGGCTCTCTGAGAAGGGACGGCCACTCCCACAGGCCACTGTAGGACACTGGTGACGAAGAGCACAGAACCTTGGGTCCCCCAAGTGTGCTGCCTTCCCTAGCTGTGATTTTGGGAATGTGCAGGGGATCAAACCTGAGGCTTGGGGCATGCGAGGCAAGTGCTTGACCACTGAGCTATCTCCCCGAGTATAATGGAACTGGAGGGTTAGACAGAGGCGGTGTTGCATTCAGCACTGCACTGATTGTGTTAATGTTCTAAAGACAGAGAGCAGAAAAGAACAAGTTTCTCCTCTGAGCCTCGTAATTTAAGTTCCTCCATCTTAAGCCTGGCAGTCCAGACCCGATTCGAGCCAAGTGTGACGATGCACTCCTGTAATCCCAGCACTCTGGGAGGCTGAAGCAGGAGGATTGTAAATTTGAGCCCAGCCTGGGCAACTTAGAGAATTAACAAGGCCCTGTTTCAAAGGTTTTTTTTTGTTTTGTTTTGGTTTGTTTTGTTTTGTTTCTGTCTTTTGGGACAGGGTCTTGCTATGCAGCTCAGGCTGCCCTTGGCTGGTCTCAAACTTGCAATGATCCTTCTCTGCCTCAGCCTCCCGAGTGCTGGGATTACAGGCGTGCACCACCATGCCCGGCCTGTTTCAAAGTTTTAAAGTGGGGTGGGTAGGGATATAGCTCAGTGTGAAGGTGTTGGGTTCAAGCTCCAGTACTAAAAAATGAAAACAAAAAACTTTTAGGTTGTCATCACTTGAAAATTAAGTTTTCCAGGCTGAGCGTGGTGACTCACAGCTGTAGTCCCACACCTGGGGGAGGCTGAGGCTGGAGAATTTCGAGTTTAAGGGCAGAATGAGATACTTATCACATTCAAGGCTAACATGGATTACATAGCAAAACGCTCTTCCGTGCTGGGGACTAAACCCAGGGCCACACATGTGCCAGGCAAGTGCTTTACCACTACACAACATCCGACAAGCTCAGATCTAAAATCTCTTCTGAAAAATAAAGAGCTGTCCCCTCCTTGCCCCCAACACTGCACGGCCACCACCGGTCCCTTCCTAAGCAAACTCAGACCCTCGCTTTCATCAGTCCCCTCCCCTGCCACTGCCTGCTTCCCTGGGCTGAATCCCAGTGGCTTTCACCATGTTTGCCCCGATGTCCTTTACGCCTAACCTGCTTCTCTTATTCATACCAGCTGCCTGACTTCTGCTCCCGATTCCCGGTGGTGTCGAGTCTGACTGGCTTCCTTCGCCAGTTTATCCTAGAACGTCATGGTGTCCAGATCTCCCAGCTGGCTGAGTCATAGTCCTAGAAAGGACTTGTTCTAGAGGCC